AAAAAATCGAAATGCATCCGACTTTTTTTTCGCTGCAGCGAAACGCTGTATCAGCATAATTGCCAAAAATGTTCTATCTGCGACGAAAAATTCGCTTCACGCGAATATTTCGTCTTGTGGAAAAACGATGATTACCACGGAACGAATTTATTCGCGCGAAGTGAATTTTTTCATCGATAAACATGCGCAGATAAAACATTTCAGTCAAAATTAACAGAAATGTTTTACCTGCGCATGCCTAACGACAAAAAAATTCGCTTCATGCGAATAAATTTGTTCGCTTTTAGTCATACAATTGAAAACATCATGCAACAAAATGACGAAGCAAAATTATTCTCTTTGAAAGGTATATTGTAGAAAAATATAAATTCTTGTAAAGATACGAGTCTTGTCGGCGGAAGTGTACTTGATTCACGGGGTTAGAAGAGGATGACATATCTTTGTTGATTTCAATTAAGATACGGCTAAAATAAATCATCGTTTTATTCACACGTGAATCAAGTACACCTCCACCCATCATATCAATGAACTCTGCAACACATGATATATAAAGAAGAATCTGAAATATTTTTTACCAAAAAATAAAATAATCCCTACTAGTAACACCATTTGTGCAATCTAAAAAACTGATAAATTTTCTTATTGAAGCAAATTGTATCAAAAAACCATATAATTGATAATAGTTGTTCTTTACTTCAACTGTCAGAGGCATCATCAGCAAAAATAGAAAAAATATTTAAAATCTTAAAATCATTTTTTCATTAATAACTTCTCCAAAACACTTTTTTACTTAATGATATGGTGTCTTAGATAGAAAAGAAGTATTTTTTTTTTGATTATATCTAAGTTGATCTTGAAGAATTTTATCACCAGCTTTAACACGGAAATGTTGCAAACACTTGATTTTTAAAAAAAACTAAATAATTTACAAGAGTCGACAAGGCGGCGGAGATGCACTTGATTCAAGTGTGAATAAAACAATTATTTATTTTAGCCGTTTTTTTAATAGAAATTAATTAAGATTTACTACTCTCTCCTAACCCCCTGAATCAAGTACACTTCCGCCATATAATGGTACTAAAGCAATTGATGGTCACACTAAAGGTTTGTCCTCTTGTATTTTAAATCTGAATGAATAAGTTGCATATGCTCATTGCAGCAGTCATAGCCTTAATTTAGCTATTTGTGCATCATATAAAGTGCAATATGTCATGCATCCATTAGTTTGTTATATTGGTAAATGCTTTTGTTTTTTGAATTTATTTTCTTCAGACTTTATGTATTTATCAGCAAGATTTAATAAAATAAAGATTTAAAAATTTACTTTTTTTAACAAAATAGGACATTAAGAATGCGTCTTTAAATACCTCTTTATATAATTTAAAATTGCATATTATAATATAAAAATATTTTATTATAATTTGTGTTATTTTATAATATATTTGTTACAATATAAATATAAAATTTTGCAATGTATAATTTAATTTAATAATGTGAAAATGTAGTTTTTTAATAATAGATTTGTAAATAATGTGTAAATATATAATTTTATCATCTAAAAGTAAAGTGTCCCGGTTTTGAGTGAAGAAAGGCTTTTAATAGATAACTTCCTGGGTTCGCCGCTGATATTTTACGATTTTGGACATTAGCAACGGTAGGACTTTTAGAAGATCACGAGAATCTTATCAAGAAGCCCTTTACAACATATATTCAATTTTTGATAAAAATACAATGTCTTGCAGTGAAATAAAAATACAATTTAATGCAAAAAATAAATAAATAGTTAAACAAAACAATATAAAAGAAATCCATTAAAAATAAATGAAGATATTTTCAATTAAAAACATAATTTTTTTCATAAACAAAAAAAAAAAAACCCTTCATAAAACCACCAATATTTGCCATCACAGATTTTTATGCGATCTCTAGAGATTTTAAGAGATCTTAAAAGGAGGAGGGGCAAGGGTGACGTAGGGTGTTTTTTGACGAGAAAAGCCCGGAATTTTTTTTTTGCCAATCAAAATTTTAATTAAAAAAAAAAAAAAAGTGGTCCTCGTTTGCTAACATTTGCCGACTGCCTATTACTATAATTTTGCCGACTTCAGTGTTCAATCTTATTATATTATAAGGGGGGCTAGACACCCCTACGCCTCCCTCCTCTGGACCGCCCTGCTCATCTCTACTTATTTATATCCGTGCAATCTTTATAATCAGTCTACCTTTAAATAATGTCAACCAAATATTCTTTATCTTAAGTAAAAGATAAAATGTAAGTTCATGAAAATAGCATTACAAATATCTTTAATAATCACATACAAATGTTAAAAGAAATAGAAAGCTAATTAATCATAATAAAAGAAAAAAACAAAGAGTTAAAACATGAGTTTAATGATACAAATAAAACTATTAATTTTTCTTTCTTTGTTTATTCATTTTTTTTTTAAATGTTTTAGGCGCCCCAAGTAGACCTAGCAGTTATTTAACAAACTTTATATAACTTTAATAAAGCGGATTTACTATTTTTTAATTTCAAATTCTTATAATTATTGAACTGAATAACAAAATCTTTTATATTTATACTGGTGTCAAAAGAATCTCGTTGAACAAAAGTAATATATAGCAACACGACGCCATTATACCTCATCTGGTGGAATAAACTTTAAAGTTAAACGAAACAGGAAATATAAATTTATCACTAAATTAAAACTCTGTTATAGAATTATCACGCCCACGACGTTTTGAACAAGTCTGTAGATTATCTATCATCTCTATATACAATAATGTATTTTTTTTTATTTTTAATTTATTGATCGTACATTACGGATGAATAATATTACAACATTATTATTGTAAACTTCACTGAGTTCTTGAGGTACTATGCTAAAAACAAACAAGTACTCTTCATTCGTGAGTCTTTGTTCACTGTTTTCTTTTTACTTACCTTTTGGTAAACACTATATCCTGTAGCACAATCAAATCCAGTCTTGCATCTAAAATTCAGTTTGGTTAATTCTTTAAGCATTATGATTAGCACAGGAGTTTGTAAATCACACAGCCTTTTAAAAGTGTATTTTAGACAATATTTTAGCGGTGTGTGTATTGAAAAGTTATCTACAAGAATTTTCTTTGGACAATTTTTATAGAGTTATCAATAATCAATTCTACGCAATTCAAGACGTGGCTAACAAGGGTTAAGGGTACGAATATATATATATATATATATATATATATATATATATATATATATATATATATATATTATATATATATATATATATATATATATATACATATATATATATATATATATATATATATATATATATATATATATATATATATATATATATATACATATATATATATATATATCCTGGTGGGAAATGATCTAGCGACTAGCGAGCGACTAGCGAGCAACTAGCTAGCTTTATAGCGGTTTTCAAGCTATTTTTTTTTTGCTTATTTTATTCTTTTCTAATGTCTGTATTATCTTTAAAAATTCAATTTTTATTGTTGAGTCTACTATAATTATGAGAATAATTGAACTTTAAACATTGCGATTTTGTAGCATTGTGTCGCTGGCTACATATCGTAGCTTTGTAGCTAGCTACAAAATATCTACAAATCTATAGCTGGTTGATAGCTACATACCAAAATTTTTTTGATAGCGATTTTATTACGATATGACGGTAGCTACAATAGCCTGTGAGTCTTTAGCTTATTAAGCTAGGTAGCCAAATCGCTGTCTTTATTTTTACAAATATCGATAGCTTTTCGAACACTTAAAAAAGCTAGCGATCCTCGTGGCCAAATTGCTGTCTTTATCGTAACGATTATAGCTAGCTATTCGTTAGCCAATTTCTTACATGATGTCTCCATAAAAATACGCGTTTTGGGCAGACGTTAAATGCATCTGGCTACTGTTTTGTAAAAGGCCTTCTAGGAAAAGACTTAAGGGGTTAACAGATTCTATCTGTAGACCAGCTTTGCACCCTTTCATCATCTATTAGGCTGGCGTAGATGTAATTATAATACATTGTTTCCAGTTTAGGATGTTGAATGCTATAGCTTGACTCATTGCATGAGTTTTTCTTGTGTCTCTGTTTTTATGACTATGCAACTCATTCTATTATCTCATAATGAGGGTACAGCTCTAAAACTCAGTTTTATAGTTCTGAGACCGGCTGGTTGTCAGGTTATCCGAACTCTGTGGTAGCTCTCATAGAGACTGATTTTATCAACATCTGTAAAATATTAGAGTACTAACAATATTAAGTTGCGCATGGATGGTGTCCCTGTTCTTACTTTTGGTGTGCAGTGTTGAGGCCACATTTAAAGCCCTTTATTATAGCTTAGGGTTTATTAATAGTAATGAGGCAATTGCTTGGGGTATTTTGGATGATTTGTAGCCAGTTCAGTTTATAAATGACACATTAGTAAACTTGACACATTTAATATCCTCATAATAATCATAATTTATGCCCAAATTTAAAAAATTTTAAAATTAGACTAGAAAAAGTTAAAAAAAAATTTTAAAAGACTTGTTTAATTTTTTTAAATTAATGCTTGCAAAAGTCAAAATCCTCAGTCAATTAATAGATACTCCATTGCGCCTATAACTAAACCAAGTTAATTACGTGCACTCAGCTGAACCGACAATAATAAAACAATTAAAACAATATAAATAAGATAAAACAATATAAATAAGATAAAGCAATAAAAGAAAAAAACAATATAAATAAGATAAAGCAGTAATAAATTATAAAGCGATAACAACAAAAAAAAAAAAAGTTTCTTAGTTCAAAGAAACATCAACTTTAGAGTCAATAAGGTTGCATTTTTTAAACTATATAATTAGTTTCTTAATGACTTTTTGCTTAAGGGTACTTAATTTTAAGTGTACTCCATTTAAATCGTCAGGAATTGCTAGATGTTTTTTACGGCTTTTGTCGCACGGTAACCTGTTTTGTGAAAAATATGTTGTTATTCATAGCTGTTTGTTGCGTTCAAATTAGTCCGAATATTTTTTTAAAACTGGAACGAAAAAATAGAAAAAAAAAAAAAAATTTATGGAATTATATAGGACTGGTGTAATCTTACTAATGATAACAAGTTCAATAGTAAAAGTTTGATTTTTTTAATTATTCAGTAATGACTTATCAGTCAGATTCGTATAGAAAAAATCCAGAAAAGAAAGAAAAGCAATGTCGAAGTAGTTTTAATCCAAAGCTTCTTAATGCTGCATGGCCAAAAGCTCCAACAATGCCAACACGACAATCGCATATAAAAAGTATACTTATCTATTTTTAAAAAATTTCTATACTGTATTACTATAAAGTAAAATAAATTAATATAAGTGTAAAATAATTTTATACAAGCCGATATCAAAAGTTAATTTTTGATTATCCTCCATAAAAGTCATAGATAGGACCACATAGGATCAAGAATAAAAATATTAATTTCAGATATTCAGATTTTTTTTAAAGTTTATTCAAGATTATTAAGTTTATTGTTTTTTTATTAATTAATTATTTGATATATCCATGATAGCCATTTTAGAGGACTTTTTTTGTCTACATATTTATATACGATTAGCATGGTTGTATAACGCTTAAAAAGACTTAAAAAAGGAGATATAATTCAATTTTAGAAGTTAAATGGATCTGAAGTTATTGCATTTTTTGTGCTGGAAAAACTAATGATTTTATTGGCAAAATGCTTTGTGCTTAAGTATAGAAAATTGGCTTTGTAATTGCACTTAAATAAAATTAAAAAACATCTAAAATCAAGTGCAAAAATCAAAACATATAATATGCAAAGTTAAAAAAGCATAATAAAAAAATATCTGAGCAAAAATCCCAAGTATTATTTCGTTAAGGAAACATAAATAAATACTTGGTTTGAATTAAAAAAAAAGTTTTTTCTTTGACAAAATGCGATTCAAATGTAGCCTCGTCCTCTTAATTTAAACTGTTTTCATTAATATTCTCATCAAATATATATAATATACCATTCAAACAAAAAAACTCATTCATGCGCTAAAAAACATATCATCAACTAAATCAGGTGTAAAGCGACTATGATGGTGCGGAGTCATATGCTTCAACACTGAAAACAGTCTTTCCACACTTACTTAAGAGATAGGCAAAGACAAAGCAACTCTGCAGGTACCCCTTATAATTTCTGGGAAACCCTCAGTTGCATTGAATGGTTTAACTTAAAAATGGGTTAAAAATCATCTAGGTTGGATGAGTTATTCTTAAAAATTGACCTAATTTTTCATTTGAATTAATTTGTACTTTATCTCCCAAAGGTTGTCAGCTGCAGTCATCTAAAAAATTTGTAATTTTGAATATGTGTAACATTTATATATAATGTATATTTATATAAATAAAGTGGTGATAAAATTATAACTATAATAGATTATGATAATAAAAAACAACCTTGTCTTCACTTTGAAGGGCAGTATCCCAATTCATCATTCCTTTCTGAATATCTTTTGCTAACTCATGGTCTTTGCCATCAAGTTTACACCTTATTGAGTTCCAGTCAAAGAGAAATTCACCTGTAGTGATATTCTCCTGCTGAAGGCGAATAGTGAGAGCGTGAGCCATCTCTAAAACATCTTGTAGTTCTTCCCAGATGCCCCAATAACATGGCTGAACATTAAACTCTTTGAGAGCTACTTTTAGTGTGTTCAGCTTTTTAATAATTAAAAAAAAAAAAAAAAAATTGAGTTTTTTATGGCAAATACTGTTTTTTTTAAATAAAGTATTTAATATTGTATGTTCTTTTAGATAGACTTAAATTTTTATGCTGTAACTGACAAAGCTTATTATTTTTTTTCTTTACAATTTGAAAATGGATGTAGCGGTGTTTTAACAATTTAAACACAATAAAAAAATCTTTAAGTTACGAATAACTTTTAAACATTAATCTTTTTTAAAGTTTTTATTTTACGCATTAGATAAAATCAAAAATTAATTATAATGATCGTTTAAAATAAATGCATTATGTGTAAATTAAATGTTGTATTTAAATTATTTTTTAAGTAGATATGTAATTTTTATAATAAATTTAAACGTTTAAAACTATTTGTTTTTGCAACTTTAAAAAAAAAATGTTTATACAACTTAAAAATAATATACTTTTTTCTTTTCAATAATTTAATTTCACTTTTCAATAAAATTTGTTCATTTATTAAACAATCAATAGAAATAATTTGTAAAAGCGTTTTGCGTAACTTTAATTAAACATTTTAAAAGATTTTTTCACAAACGCAATTAAAAACGTAACAAAAAGTAATTTTAACTTGTTTTTTTTCGTTTTATTTTTAATTTTTAATTTTTTTCATTTTGTTTTTAAGCTAATTTCTTTTCTTTTTCGTAAGAAATTGTTTTGCTTATTCTTTAGGGCATTTCCATTTCTGTGCGTGATTTTTTATTTTTCTTTGTTTTAGCAATTAAAAGCTGGGACTTTATGCAATATGCATACTATTTTGATTTTCTTAAAGAACAATTATAAAAAAAGTATTTTTATCATATTTTAGGCTATCTGAATAAATTAAATATACACATTTTTACAATTTTATTTTTTTTGAGTAGTAATATTGTTACATTTTGAAAAATATACAATAATTTTCAAAACGCCATACTCTAGCTAGAAATAATTGATGACTGCCGTTTCTCATCGAAAATATATTAAATATGAGTTGCAGAAGTATAATATTTCATTTGAAATACTCACTAGCAATTTATTTTCATAAAAATAACTACATGAAATTGACAAATTTGCAACATCCGTGCGTGACTTCTGTGCGTAATCATTCATAAACTGCATTTAAATGATTGCTGTGACTCTATGATTCATAGTGCAATCCTATAACTTTCTGGAAATCTTTACTAATGTTTAAAATACTATTTAAAAAAAAAAGTATACCGGTGAAACTTATATTGTCCGAGGAATTAAAATTTTGTTTATCTAGTAACTAAAATAGAAGTTTTTCTGTTCCATGCGTGATTCCATTTCAAACTTTATTTATTCTTTGTTAACATTACTAATTCTTACTATTTTTTTGTTACAAAATATTTATATTGATTAAAATTAAATGAGAGTAAATTGGAGATCGCTAGTGTTATTTTTATGAAAATAATAGTAAAAACATATATGAGTTTCCGTGCGTGATTTTTTGGAAATGCCCTTTAGTTTTTTCAATTTTTTTTTCTAGTTTAAGCTTAACTTTTCTTTTTTCAACGCATTTCAGAAACATTTAAATCATCAAGACATCTAAACAGTTGTGGTCAAGTTGTAAACAAAAACAATCACTTGCGTGGTCAGCAATAGCATTCAATCGCACGCCAGATTTATATTGTAGAACTTAATTCCCGTCGGTCAAAATTTCCAATTACTTTATAAATTGATTGGACAATCTGAGGTTTTACCCAGACAATGTCCGATGTCCAACTGTTAAATTGAGTACTGTATATATATATATATATATATATATATATATATATATATATATATATATATATATATATATATATATATGTATATATATATATATATATACATTTATAAATATATATATATATATATACATTTATAATATATATATATATATATATATATATATATATATATATATATATATATATATATATAAATATATTTATATATATATGTATATATATATTCTAAGTGCAAGCTAAATTTCAATAATACAGTTTTCGCCATAAACTTGATTTTTAGCGCTGAAAAGGTATATATTTGACTTTCATGCAATTGTTTTTATCTATAATTATGAGGATGAGGAGGCAATTTTGTTATAGTAACACTAATTTTATGTTGAAATAAATATTTTTTTAAATGGGAAGTAAAATATAAATCAGATTTCATTATCTGAAAATAAACTTTCTAGCTCAGAAGCACTTTCCCAGAGGTTAGTTTCATTAAGTTGTTTAACTTCACTACTTTCATCGCTAAACGAATTTATTTTACTTTTCTTTTCTATATTTATTTTATACTCTTTGTGGAATTGTTGCGTTGACAGCAGCGTTTGTGTAAGTCCTATTTTTCAATTGCTGGCATGATATTATACTTTTCTACAGGTGGAACAGACTCGCCTATTCTTAACAAATGTTCTAATCTTTAAGTAGACCAGCAGCATCTAAACTTTTTTCAACTTGGAAAACATTCTTTCTAGCTTAGCATTGCACACTAGGATGGTGAAAAGTAATTCAATTTATACCAATACATATATCCAATTCTTACACGGAGAGGAGAATATTTTTCTCCAGGTACACAAATATGTCAATTTTGATATGGAAAAATACTCACAAGCATACTCTGAGGGAGAATGCCATTGACTTAGCTGATGCATTTATGCCAACATGTATTAAAGGTATTTCAAAACAATGTAATAAATAAATAATGGCATCATCTGTGAACTCATTGTTATTAACAGTTACGTTTTGCACTACTACTTTCTGATCCCATCCTTTTCAATTAAAAACTTTTGGAACAAATTTAAATATTTACCAATTTCACAATGTCTTGGATACACACCCACGCTGAACCAGATTTTAGTTTGATGAAATGACATAGGGTTGTGTCATACCTTTTTGAAATTGTTAGAACCATACCATTAAGAAAAATTTAGTGAAAAAAATCATAAAACTAATCTTTAAAAAATATTTGGGTTTATACAAAACGGTTCCCGAACTTTGACGCCCCTCTGGTTGATCATGAGACCAACCCGAGGGGGGAAAACAACTGTTTTATATTTTGTTAAATAATATAACTAGTTATTAGTTGCCCCTTCTAGATGGTCTAAAAAACAATCCGAGGGGCTTCAAAGTTCATCACCTATTTTGACCCGTGTGTATATAATCATTATTAAACTTTATAAATAAGTTTATAAAGAACAAATAATATATTTTACTTTAAACAAAATATCAAAAATCACTTTATCAATCTAGTCAAATATGTTTTCATTGAAAAAATAAAATAAAAAAGCATACAAATATTGTACAGTAGTTTTATACTGAGCAATAGTTTTATACTGAACAATGCAAAACAGACCACAACTCATCATTAACACATGAGTAATGAAACTTCTTAATTCTGCATATTTTCATTTTGTTTTAACCTTAAAAATTGAAGTATAATAAACAACGCTTGTAAGTAATGTTAAATGGAATTTAATAAGGAACCTATATGCTGTAATAGTCAGCATTTATATTTGTATTATATTATGTTATATTTGTATAGTGTTTGAAACATTTTTTA